AAGTTATTTTATCTTAATTATAAAATTATATATTAAAAAAATTAAAATTATATTGCCTACTTTTGGGCGCCAAATTGTAATACCATTCGATCATAATAGGAGGTATACACAAAGGGACACAAACAATACTCTAGTTAGGGAATTTTAACCTCTTTTTCTTAAATTAATTGTATATTTTTGATTTTTGTTGCCTGATTTTGCTATCACTCCTAACATGATGGCTGTAGCTTTATCTCCCTACTTTATGGCAAAATTTTGAATTTTTTTGCTAAATTTTCAGGCGCGAAATGGAAGTAATCCTGCAAGATTTTTGTATCGAAATTTTTTGTTTACAACTTTTAAAATCCACTAAAAATACATTTTTATTGCCTATTTAAAAAAAATTAAAATTTCGATGCATACTTTTGGGCGCCAAATTGTAATACCATTCGATCATAATAAGAGGTATACAAAAAGGGACACAAACAATACTGTAGTTAGGGAATTTTAACCTCCTTTGCTTATATTAATTGTATATTTTGTTGCCTGATTTTAGGCGCGAAATTTTTTAACACCCTTGACATGATGGCTGTAGCTTTATCTCTCTAATTTGTGGCAAAATGCAGATTTTTGTAGACTAATTTTCAGGTGCGAAATTGAAGTGATCCTCCGAGTTGATACACAAAAAGATACCCAATACTTTTGTATTGAAATTACTCATTTTAAAACTTTTAAAATCCACGAAAAATAAGTTGTTATTGCCTATACTTTTTAAAATTATTAAAATTTCGTTGCCTACTTTTGGGCGCCAAGTTGTAATACCATTCGATCATAATAGGATGTATACACAAAGGGATTCTAACAATACTCTAGTTACGGAATTTGAACCTCTTTTTCTTACATTAATTGCATATTTTTGATTTTTGTTGCCTGATTTTAGGGGGGAAATTTGCTACCACTCGTGACATGATAGCTGTAGTTTTATCTCCCTAATTTATCGTAAAATTTAGATTTTTGGTGGCTAATTTTAGGTGCGAAATGGAAGTGATCCACCAATAGGATACCTAAGATTTTGATTTTAGGTGCGAAATTTGCTACCAAGTTTGACATGACCAAGTTTGAGATAGTTTTATCTCCCTAATTTATGGCAAAATTTAAATTTTTAAACTAATTTTCAGTCGTGATATTGAAGTAATTCTGCAAGATTTTTGTATTGAAATTGTTTGTTTAAAACTTTAAAAAATCCACTAAAAATAAATTGTTATTGCCTATTTTTCTATTAAATTATATATTAAAAATAATATTTCGTTGCCTACTTTTGGGCGCCAAGTTGTAATACCATTTGATCATAATAGGAGGCATACAAAGGGACACTAACAATACTCTAGTTACGGAATTAAAACATCTTTTTCCTACAATAATTGTATATTTTTGATTTTTGATGCCTGATTTTAGGCGCGAAATTTGCTACCACTCTTGACATGATGGATGTAGCTTTATTTCACTACTTTATGGCAAAATTTAGATTTTGGTAACCTAATCTTATGCGTGAAATTGAAGTAATCCACCATTAAGATACCTAAGATTTTTATTTTTGTTGCCTGATTTTAGGCGCGAAATTTTCGACGACTCTTGACATGATGTCTGTAGCGTTATCTCCCTATTTTGTGGCAAAATGTAGAATTTTTTGACAAATTTTAGGTGCGAAATCCACCAAAAATAAATTGTCATTGCCTATTTTTAGGCGTAATATACTATATTTAAGCATCATTGTGGCCATGGCTTTGTCTTTCGACACAAATAGAAATTGAATTACCATGAATATGAGAATGTGGTACATAAAATTGAAAAAAAAAATTGGTTTCGCTTTAAAAAAAATTTCGAAAAAAATTGGCTCAATTAAAATGTTTCAAAAATTAAATTTAGAAAAAAATAATCATTTCAAGTGTTATCCGTCATACAATTAAAATATATTAAAGGTTCCAATTTCAATACAAAATTTTGCTTTACAAAAAATCGCTGCATAATTTTTATTGCCTACTTTTAGGCGCATGAAACTTTATATATGCCATTAAAAGCCACAACTGACTGCAAAATAGCGTAATTTCTATGCATTTCATGGTTATTACAGAATGATTTAAGCGCAACAAATTAATTTGTCCCGAAAATGATTGACTTTTAGGTGACAAAATTTAGTTTATCTCATTTTTCTAGTTAATTTGTCGATCTCACAAAACAATTGTAAATGTCTATCGTGTCAGGAGGGCCCATACTCTTCCTCCTCCTTTCTCCCCATGTTCTTTGTAAAAATTCCAATTTCAATTCGAATAAATATAAATACAACTATAAAAAAATAAATTAAATTCTTAGTTTTCAATTTTTTTTATATTTTGTAAGTTCTATGTTCTCTTAAGATTATTTTCAACCAAAAAAAAAATGCTGGACATTTGTAAAACAAACAATAAAATTTTCATTGGAAAATCGAGTATATTTCTCAAGCTTTTTTTTTTTTGAGAAGTGAAAAACGACAAACTAATACCAAATCACACAATTTTTTCAATAGGGAATAATATTGTAAACTTTTAACCAAAAAATATATATTTTTAAAATTTTTTTAACCGAATTGTAAATTATATAATTAGCATTTTGATAAAATAAGATATTTTTAATTATTAATATCTCAACACTTAATTATTTTTTAAGTTTTAAATGACAATATTTTCCATTATCATTCTCTTATGCTTAATAAAATTGAGCGAAATTATGTCGAAAAAAAAACAATATTTTTTTTGTTTAATTACACACAAAGAGATGCATGAAATATCTCTTATTTTACATTATTCTCTATGGAGTATGTCACCACAAGTCTCTGAAGACAAAATATCTCAATTTTGGGAACTTTATATTTTTTGAGGTTAATTTTGTAAAATTTTTGAAAATTTATCAAAATTCCACGAATTTTGCATTTTTGCAAGATGGTGTCAAGGGATATTAGGTTCTACACATAAGTCCACAATAGGTTACTGAAGAGAGTAAATCTCTAAGCATAAACGTTGTTTAGAAAATATCCTCAAACTAATTGCATACCCTTTTTTTAAACTAAATAGAAATCATAATTTTTTTAAATTTATAAAAATTTTCCGCAACATGACATTTTAGCGGGATGGTGTCAATGGAGAAAAGCTTCCTCACCTAATTCCCAATGGGTCACTAAATAAAACAAATCTTTAAATACAGGGAGATTTAAAAAAACTGCAACAAAGTCAAAGGCCATAATTTTTATTTATTTTTTTAAACTTTATTGAATAAAAATAAAAAATGTCGAAAATAGCATTAAATTTTAGAATAAGTTTAGATTTGTTCGAATTGGTGGTCACCTTTGGCTCGAATCATGCTGGACAACGAATGTTTTCTCATCGGAGAATAGGTTTTCTCAGAATAGTCCAAAATCTCTTTCAATACTTCACATTGGCAATTTGGTGTCAAAGGAGAAATTGTTCTTCACTCAAGTCGCCATTCAAAGCTAGGCCCTATTTCTAATAGGTATCTGGGAAATGTGGGCAAAATCTTTTCTTATTTTTTTGCTGGATTTTTTTTTGATGGGATTTCTAAGAATTGTTCAAAATCTCCTTCAAAACTTTACTTTGGCAATTTGGTGTCAAAGGAGAAATTGAAATTAAATTCCACATAGGGTTGCCGTTCATAGCTAGGCTCTATATCTAATGGGTATCTGAGAAATGTGGACAAAATCTTTTCATTGCTTGGCTGAATTTTTTTTTTATTGGTTTTCTCACATTTCTCCAAAGTCTCTTTCAATACTTAACTTTGGCAATTTGTGACCAAAGGGAAAATTGTTCTTCACTAAATTCCATCTAGGGTCACCGTTCAAAGGTAACCTCTATATCTAATGGGTATCTGGGAAATGTGGGCAAAATCTTTTCATATAATTTTTGCTGAATATTTTTATAGGTTTTCTCAGAATATTCCAAAATCTCCTTCAATACTTCACATTGGCAATTGGGTGTCAAAGGGAAAATTGTTCTTCACTAAATTCCACATAGCGTCGCCGTTCAAAGCAAGGCTCTATATCTAATAGGTATTTGGGAAATGTGGGCAACATTTTTTTCATTTCTTGGCTGATTTTTTTTTTTTTTTTTTTTTTGGTTTTCCCAAAATTCTCCAAAATCTCCTTCAAAACTTTACTTTGGCAATTTGGTGTCAAAGGGGAAATTGTTCTCCACTAAATTCTACATAAGATCGTCATTCAAAGCTAGCCTCTATATCTACAAGGTATCTGGGAAATGTGGGCAAAATCTTTTCATATAGTTTTTGCTGGATTTCTTTAATAGGTTGTCTCAGAATTGTCTAAAATGTCTATCAATACTTCACATTGGCAATTGGGTGTCAAAGGGGAAATTGTTCTTCCCTCAATTCCGCGTAGGGTTGCCGTTCAAACCTAGCCTCTATATCTAATAGTTATCTGAGAAATGTGGGCAAAAGCTTTTCATATTTGTTGGTTGGAATTTTTTATAGGTTTTCTCAAAACTTTCCAAAATCTCCTTCAAAACTTCACTTTAGGGGTTTGATGTCAATGAAGAAAGTGTTGCTCACAAAATTTCTTTATAGATATTGCATCCAAAGGAATCTGAAATTATGGAATATTTGAATTAAATTGGGTAATTTAATTTGATGTAGTTCTAAATACCTGTTTTGGTGGTACTATGGTAATTTAATATGCATTTGTAAAGTATTTTTCATTTGTGGCCTACTTTTAGGCGGTTTTTCCTGAAAGTGAAAGATGTATCAATTAAGTATGGAAAGTTAATGGGAAAATTCTAATTTTTTACATTTGTTAGATATAGTTGTTGCTTACGTTTTAGGCAGCTTCTATTTGCCCTGAAAGCCTTATAATTTTTTTCATTGCACATTTAGCATGTAAATCTACCTTAGAAATATATAATTATATAATATTATTTTAGCTTCCTTTTTATTGATCTCCATTTCTTGTCCGTTTCTTCCAGGCCCAACAAACACATGCCGCCAATTCCCGCAATCAATATCGCAATCCCATGGATAATCTCATGTTAAACAATCGCCAACCCTATGGGGCATATAATAATGCGGCGATTTCAATGCAACCGGTTAATTCACATGGTCAAGGCAATGCTCCGCCACCATTGGTTCGTTCAGCGGGTGGCCAGAATGCCAATCACATGTAAGTAGAATAATTGATAAACAATTGTTGATTAATTTTTTTTAGTTATTTTTTCTATTATTATTACTATTATTTTTATTTAATTGTGTTTTTCAAATTTAGTTGTAATTCCTTTTTTTAAATATGAAAACGAAACGAAACAAATTGGATTAAAAAAGCTAATATTTTAGCTTGAATTCGAAAAAAAAGTTACAAATAATTTAAAAACAAAAAGCAAATTGGTTTTTGGTATTGTTTTTATATACCCCCCTTTTAAAATATTTCCTCCCCTCCACCAAAACTCTAAAGAAATGAAAATTTTAATGCTTTTTTTCTTTTACACCAAAATAAAAATAAAAAATTAAATATATTTTTTTTATCTAAATTATGTTGTTGTGCACGCATTTGATTTGAATTCAATTCAATTTAATTTTTCCAAAATTGAATTGTTAATAATTTTTTCTAATATTTTTAGTTTTTTTTTAATATAACATCAAATAATAACATGTTTTTCGTATTGTTGTAGTTGAAAAAAAAATAAATCATAACTTTTTTCAAATGTATATTTTTTTTTAAATCACTGCCTATCTTTAGGCTGTCATTGTAGTTGTCTAAATATTTTATGGGAAAGGCGTGCATTTTTTGTTAATTTTATTTTCATAGACCTTTGAGGTGTAGCTGACTTTATTTCAAAATTTCTTGTAGGGCTGAAAAGTCCCAAATAACTAACCAATTTATTTTTCATTCAACATAACCTAAAAACAGACCATTTCAATATCGAGTAAAAATAAAAAAAATTTAAAAAAAAAATTAAAACATTTCCTTAAATAATATAACTTATTTTTGGACGTCAAATATTGAATATCGAGAAGAAATAGGAATATTTTAATTCTCGAATTATTCGGATAATATTTTTAAATTTTAAAACGAAAAATGAAAATATAATTTTTTAACTAATTTGGCTTATTTTTTGGACTTTAAATATAGCTTTTTTACAAAAGCTAAAAAAATGAAAACATTTTTTTTAATAATTTAGGGTGAGATAAAAAAACTGCAACAAAGTCAAACGTCATAATTTTTACATTTTTTTTTTTTTAAATTTTATTGAATGAAAGCAAAAAAATGTCGGAAATAGTATAAAATTTAGAATAAGTTTAGATTTGTTCGAATTTGTGGCCATCTTTGGCACGAATTATGGCCTTCAAACGGCCAATGAAACCGTCACACCCTGCCCGATTGTTGCTCTGTGGTATTTTGGCCCATTCCCGGTTACTTTAGCTCATTTTTTAATATTTGCCTGTCGGATGAGTGGCTTAAAAATGACAGCAGTCTGAATTTGGTTGCTGTTTTTTTATCTCATCCTGTAGATTTTTTTTCGCAAAAATAAATTATTATTGACATTTATAAAATCAGGCATATTTCTAGGATTATTAATTTTAAATACTGTAATTAAGATGAATGTTGGATGACCAAGAAGAATATTGTTTTAATTGTAGCCTATATACTTTTTCTATAATGCGTGTTACTACGACTTGGAACGTATGACATTTTTTCTTTGTTGCATAAAATGCATGCCATTATAAAAACAATAGTTAAAAATTATTTTTTTTTTTTTTTGTAGTTAGAAATCTGTTTTCAAACATTTTTTTGTTGCCTTTGTGAATGTATGATGATAAAAAAACGATAAACGAAAAAAGAAACTACAACCATTTGAAAAACATAATCACAATATTTTTTCCTTGCTTTAATTTAGTTTCGTCTTCTGTATCTCAAAACTATTTCTTTTTCCTCATTTTGTTTTTGTTGCGAAACATATTTTTTAAACTATTTGCAATGTACCACCTTGTACCAAGAAACATACATACAAAAAAAAAATAAAATAAAAACCCTCTGCAAACAAAACAACAACAACAACTACAAAATGTGTCTCCCCAATTCCAATTTGGGTTAACAAAATATAAACTTTAAAAAAATGCAATTTTTTCCTAAAACGCCAAATACCAATTCCTAGATACATTATATATAATGCGTGTACAAACAGTTTGAAATAATTATAACTAATTAAATGAATCTAATTCAAAACTACAAATAAAAAAAGTTACTTTACAAAGCGAATATTTTTAAAATAATCAATATCTTAAATATTTAATTTGCATTCTTCATAGGCCAGGCTCTTTTTCTTTATGTAAATATATATAAGTGGTGGCTTTTCTGTATAAAAGGGTTTTTTTTCTACATTATATTGGGACATTAACAATTAACACCTCCTAACAACGTAACACAAAGAAGTTAGAAAATAGGATTCTCAAGCCTTTAAAACTTCTACTTGAACAATAGACAATTCAAAAGAAAATCAATATATTTTCTAAAAAAAACACATATAAATACCTAATCGCAAGAGGAAAGAGAGGCTGGGAGTTTCATATATCACCTAGAAATAAAAAATCATGAACTCGTTGTATTAAAAATGTATACAATTTTACCTTTTGATGTCAAAGAGGAGGAGGGACATATTGCAGAGATTAAGTCCTTTATAGCGAAGAAAACAGGATTTCATCAAGCCTGTTTGAAGAAAACACAGATATGTGGGAATCGCTCAAAACGTATAACCTATAAAATTTCCACTGTAACAATAGACCATTCAAAAGAAAACCAATATGTCTTACAAAAATACATGTAAGTCTCTATCGCAAGAGGGAAGAGAGGCTGGGAGTTTTATGTATGTCCTAGAATAATTAAATTGAATTAAAAATGCATAAAATTTTACCTTTTCATGTCAAAGATCAGGGACATATTGCGGCGATTAAGTCATTTATACCGAAGGAATAGGTGCTCGGAAAAGACGTCAAAAGAGCATACCTTTTTTTTTACTATATAGTATTGACATCTTAGTATCATTTTAGCTAATATATTGCCTAAAAATATAGCCAAATATATAGGGGTGGTTCATTGTTCACATACTTCTCCTATTGGCAGAAAAACTAATAGTTTATGGTTAAAATTCTTAGTTTTTTTCTGAAAATGATAGAAACATAGAAAATTTATACTATTCATGACAGGGAATACCTTTTTGTTTTTACCTTCCGCCAGACAGTTTCCAGTTAGGGAATACCAATCTTCTGTTATGACTACTTTCCTTCATGTGCGACAGCTTCTTCTGGACATCAGAGATGGTTAAAAATCGAATGGCTTTAGTACCAGAAAAGAATAATATTTGAATTTATTCTATATTGATCATGAGATGGATTACCTTTTTTGATTTTTAACTTCCGCCATTGGTCGCTTTTCACAGAGGAAATATGTCACCTAGCACTACTGTACCGACTATATCAGTTGCATCCTAGTCTTCATGTAATTCTTCCTCTTCTTCAACTCAATGCAAGTCGATTTGTTCAGTGTCGTGCTGTTTAGCTTCCAAAAATCTATGCTTTGCCCATAATAGCCTCAATGGATCTGTCGTAGAAGCTCGGGAAGCAATAATTATTCTACACATTTTCATGGTGCTTTTGGCGCCAAAAATAACAGCGTCATGTCTTTTTAAAATGTCGTATTTAGATTACACGTTAGGGCATTGTAATTTAGTTTAGATTTATTTAATCGCAATGCCAGCTGAGGGGTCATTTTATTGTTTTAGAGCAAATAATTAATTATAATATTTAATTATAACAAGGAAGATGGTTGTTTGCACCAAAAATCCATTCACTTGCGTCTCTGTTATTATGCTATCAGTTCTCTGTGAATGCAAAAAATCTTCTTTACGGCTATGACAGTTGTTTTTACATTTTCTATTAAATGTCGATGAAAGTCACTTATTTAATCACAAAATCTGCCCTGAAGGAATGGGGAATGGCAGTATAATGAATCTTTTCACTCAATGCATCAATTTCTATCAAGGAAATGTAATATTCATAAGAAATGCATCAATATATTGCACTGTTTATTATTTGAGCTTAGGGCGTTTTTACATCATCAACGTTAGATTCCATATTAAGGGGGCTATAGACTTTTTGTTTTCATGATCGCAAAAGCTTTTTGCATTGAACAAATAAAACGAATAAAAGAATTCTCAAAAAAGTCTATAAAGCCGATTTGGGTGATTTCTTTTTTATATATTAGACGTGTCTATTTGATATTACAAATAGGACACATCAAAGAAGTCGTATATTTATATTCTGGCCTGAGAAAATACGTAAAATAGAAGAACTGGCTTAAAGTAGAATACAGCAGAGAATATATAGCGCTAAAATAATTAACATTAGGGTTTTTTATAATTACATGAATGTTTTTAGAATCCTATAACAATCTGTAACTAATTTTAGTTAACAAAATAGAGTTTAGGGATTTTTAAAATGTTTTTTTTTTTATAAAATCACAATTACATTTGTAGGTTATGTTAAATATTTTAAAAATATTCGCTTATGGTAAAAAAAGGAATCCAAAATAAATACAATTAAATTTGAAAAATCCTTTTGTAAATTAATATTCAAAAATATGAATTTTTCATAGAAAAAAAATAATAAAAATAAAATTTAAAAAAAAATTAAAAGAAACACCGAAATTCTAAAACTCACAACAACAATTTGTATATAATGTTTCTAGGTCTAGTGTCGAGCAAACGTTGCTGCAACAACAACAACAACAACAAACACAACAAACGAGACCATCCCCCAATACAACACAACCAAGACATATAAACACATCCCTTAACCCCATTGTCCCACCCGCCGTCGCCGCAGCCGCCACATCGCCCCTCGCCTCTGCGGCATCGACCAGTGCCAAGGTGGTTTCTTCATTACTTTCAAGTAATTTCAATTTGGCCTCTTCGGCCCCATCCACCGCTCAAGATTACAACAATTTGGCATTGTGGAATCAATTGACTCCGGCCCAAAGACTATTGTTGACACAACAGTTCAAAAATACCGGTGGCCTTTTGCCACCGGGTAAAAGTCCATTTCCTCCGCTACCCTCATTGCCATTGGATACGGATTTGATTACCATGTTGGATTATAATCCAAACAAGTCTTCCGCAAAATCTAACACTGCCTCTGCTGGCAATGAAAGTTCTAGAAGTAATGGACAATTTACAAAACCCCATGTGCCTCCGCTAATACCGGTGAATGCCTTAGATGCTCAGCGCAAAGCAAATCGTTCTGCTGGTGGTAGCACACCTTCGCATCCCAGTAGCGGTGGTGGTGGTGGCGGTCCGGCTACAGTACCTCTGAATTCATCGGCCGCCTTAGAAGAATTCGAAAAGAAATTCAAAATGAACGATGAAATGAGGGCTGTTGTCCAAAAGGTGTTGTCCAATCCGGATTTGTCGACTTTCATACAGACGAACGCCTCACAGACCTTTGTGCCTTTTATATCGCCACCCATATCGCCAGCCAATGGCGGTGTCCAATTGCCGGGTACCTCCGTGTCAATTGTGCCCAATCCCCATGTTACAATAACGCCTCAGCTGCCACCTCACTTCCAACACAGCAGCACGGCCCACTCGCCAAGTTCAGCCTCATCGTCGTCCTCCTCTTCGGCCTCTACACCGAATAGTAATCGGCAAAAGAGTGTAATATGTTCGACAACGGCGGTGGCGCCCAACGTGGGGTTGGGTTCACCTTCACCCGGACGTACGAAACCATCCTCTATGACCACAACAAATTACAATTACCAAACACAACAACAACATCTTTCTTCCTCCTCTTCCTCTTCTACTACTACACCCACACCAATGGAAGTAATCGATTTATCTTCCCCCCGAAGGTCTCTGCATGCTGCCTCAGCCTACTTGCAACAACAGCAGCAACAGCAACAACAACAAGCGGCCGCAGTAGCCGCCGCCCAGCAACAACAACAGAATCAACAACAAAGACTGGCAGCAGCCGCTGCAGCCCATCACCAGCAGCAAAATGGTCGGCAATCGTCAAATTCCTCGGCGGCGGCCCAACAACAGGCCGCAGCCAATTCGGCCAGCCTTCACCTGCAGCGGCATGCTGCAATGGCGGCAGCAGCCGATAACTCACAGCGGTTGAATATAATACCGGAAATACCTGCCAACAATCTCAACGTCCAGCCGTACAAGGTGCAGAAGGTCAATGTGGAGATTGCCCTGGTGCCGTGTATAAACATGAAGGCCTACAATGATTCCGAGCAACTGATGACCCTAACCGATTTCCATAACTACTTATTCCCCACGGTTCCGCTGGATCAGTGCAAGCGGCTGATTGAGGCCTTGGGCGTTGAGCTCTACAAGGGAAATAGGTAAGTTCCGAAGAGTCAATTTGGATGTTAACTTTTTCACTAAATTGTTGTTTTTTCTTCCTTTCTTCCTTCCTTCCTGCAGACACCAGGTCAAGGTTCTGATGGAACACGATCGCACCTACAATGAGAACATCCCCCTCGTCCAGGTGCGTGACATTCTGAAGTACATGACCCAGATTATGTTCATGATAAGAAATCAGGATAAGCCACCAAATAAACGTGCTCGCATAAGCTAGGAATTGGGTTGGGGAGGACAACATATTACAGCAACAAACGCAAACGCAACATCTTCATCTACAACAGCCACATCAAACGCAGCCGCACAGGAACAGCAGCAGCAGCAGCAACACCTCAAAACCGCACATCAGCACCAAAAAGACTCGCGCAATCAGCTGCTGACACCAGAGAACTCTTCCACATCTTCAACGTCGAGTAGTGGAGGAGGCGGCGGCGGCGGAGGTGCCAGCAGTAATTCAGCGGCGGTATCCCAAACTGGCAAATCATCATCCGCCAGTTCATCCTCCTTAGCACCACCGGCCCATCATCATCCTCATCATGCGCTTGATATGTTGTACTCCCCAGCGTCGGCAGCAGCGGCAGCCCGACAACAATTACTTTTACAGCAACAGCACAATGCCCTGCAACAGTTCCATCAGCATCAACAACAAATTTTACAGCAGCAGCAACAACATCAACACCATGAAAAATCCTCCAATGCCAGCAAAACAGCTGGAGGCTCGTCTTCGGGTAAATCAAACAGCTCTGCTCAAAGGCTTTCGGCGGCCCAACAATTGGCTGCAGCGGCAGCTGCTGAAAGTGCTGCAGCCTACTACTCGGCAGCAGCGGCGGCAGCTACAATGCTCAGTCCGCCCTTGAGTGCTGCGGCCACACCAGTCTCCAGCCTAAGTGCTGTAAATCCCTTTGCCAATCCTTTTGATTGGTTGGGTGCGGCAGCAGCAACATCATCCTCAGCAGCGGCCACCAATGGCAACTCTTCCACGAATACTGGGCAAAAACGTTCCTTATCATCATCCTCAACAGCTTCATCCTCAGCGGCGAGGGCGACAGAGGCTAATCGCCACAGTTCATCGAACAACTCAACACCTGCAACTGCATCGGAATTTCTCAATATGTTTACGGCAGCCGCTCATCACACTCCCAACAATGACAATGGCGGCACCTCTTCATCTTCCAGCCATCATCAACAGAGGTCTTCATCGAATGCCTCAGCTTCCTCGTTGGCCTCTAGTTCATCCAATACACCAGGCGGTGGTGGTAAATCATCAAATTTCTCTGTGGCCTCTTTAACGGGCGGCGGCTCTTCCAGCTCTTCATCGGCGGCCAATAACAGCAACTCCACAGCTGCAAGTGTCTCCAATTCATCGTCAGCCGCACTGGCAGCCTTATTTGGTGTGGCAGCACCATTTTCCGCCCCCGCTCTGGTGAATCCCTATCAACCGCATTTGGCACCCGGAGTGGCAGCTGCTGCAGCGGCAGCTGGAGCCCATGGCCTGCCATCGCCCACAATTTATCCACCAACACCACCACCTTCGGCACCATGGATCCATCCCTGGTATGCTGGGGATACTTTTTAAATGAGTAATGTATATAGATTCTTTTTTTAAATACTGGTAATCTCTCTTATTATGTAATAATAATATTATGGTATTATGATATGACCTTTCCACCCCAACCCCTTGTTAGTAATGAATATTTCCCACAAATGAACCAAAGAACAATAACGAAAAAATTGGTCTTTTCTATGATGAGGTTTTGGATTTTCGATAAAAGTCGTCGAAAAGAAGAAAAACAACAATTTCAATGTTTTAAGCAAAGATTTGTTTTGCAAAGAAAAATCTAAATTTATTTTTTTTTCCGGTGAATTATAATGATTTCGGAATTTCTTTGTTTTTGTGAAAAAAAAAATGCAATTCGATGTGTGGCCAGTTACCTTTGGCATATGCAACAATTTTAAATTGATATTTGGCCAGCTACCTTTGAGGCTTCTCACGATTGTGTAAATCTTGCTTGCTTTATATCAACACCATATGAAACAGTGTAGGCACGCCCTTAAGCCAATAACACCAGTTGTCTGGTGTTTATGGGAGAAAGAGCCGTTATTTTTTTCTCAAGGGAAAGAAGAGAGCATAATTTGTATTTAATCGTGCATGCTCTAAAACAGTGGTGCCAAGATGAAAAACCGTTAATTATAAGAAATGAAATGGCAGTCATTTTAAGATTGCCGGCTTATGTGAACCCCCCTTTTAATATGAACGTATGTATTAGTGCAAAAACGCCAAACAATTGCCGTATAATGGAACTCTAAAAACATAATTTTATTGTTTTATGTGGAAAATACCGACACTAACGTCACAATTTAATGAAATTAAAGGGCGATTTTACACATTATCATTGCAATTATGTGAAGAGACAGGCCACTCCAAATTCTAGACATACGTCATGGTAGAAGAAAACAGGTAGTCGCATCGAAACAGCTGCTGAGACAATGAACTGTCAAACTAAATTTTAAATTCAAAACTTTGAATGAAAAGTTATTCAAATTCGTAAAAATTGTTGAAAAATGAATATCATAATAATCTCAGATTGGCATCGTATATAAAAATATACTTTTTTTTGAAAAAAGCGTTGATGCATCTACCTATATTCTTCTATCATGATATACATAAACCATGCTCGGTTTAAAAAACTTAGCGTTTTCTTTGTGAAAATCTTTGCTAAAAAACAAGTTTCTCCAATTTTCTGTAATTAAGAAATATCATAAAATATACATTACCATCCTAACCATATGTTATTTAATTCTTTTCATGTAAATTTAACTAATCTTAAGGCAAGTATTATGTTAATATTTCAACATAATATAAATGATAACAAAAAAAAAAATATTTTTTGTCCCATAAAAAATTTATAAAATGTTTTCTATGAAAACTTTATGTTAAGTTTTCCTATAATTTTTTTAACACAAATTTTGGTAAGACCTTGGCAAAGTAAATAAAAAATGACTTATATATATTTTAAGTAACATAAACAGAACAAAAATCCTATCCCCAATACCCTTGTGAATAGCATAATTGAAGCTTGCCAAAAAAAATCGTTCTTTTTCCACAGAGAATCAATCAAAAATTAAAAGAATGGAGGAGTGTTACAAAATTAAAATTAAAAAAAAAAAAAACAGAACTGAAGAGCAACATATAAAATTACTGAATTAAAATAATATATCCCAAAATTAATTTTAAATCTTAGGAACTGTAACAAAAAAGTACCATTTTCTATTATCAAAAAAAATATATATATTTTATTTACTTTTCGAAATATTTATGTAAATAACTTTTCAAGAACTGCTTATTATTTTCATACAAAAAACAACAATTCTCTAAAGAAAAAACTTAGTCTTAATATTAAAAAAAATAATAAAACAAAGAAATAAAATTTCTTGAAATTCCATAATTCTCCCTCTCTCTCTTAATTCTATTCGAAAAAAGCTAAATCCTGTACATAAACACAAACATACACATTCACAGCTTATAAGTTTAGCATTAGAAAAAAATAATAAGCCAAGTAAAACATCATTAAATTTAGTTAGTTATTTTTTTTTTTGTTTTTTAATTCTAATTTATGATGATTATTATTATTACATAAATATGCATTACACTTAAAAAAAACTTTGTTTCATTATATATCCATATATATTATTTTGTAATGTATTTACAAAAAGAAAAAAATGTATTTAATTTATATACAAAATAAACAGAAAAAAACAAAACTTAAAAAAATCATACATTTTTAGCTTAAAGAGTATTATTAATATTTAACAATTATTATTACTGATAAATCCAATAATAATAATACCAACAGAAAACGTTAAAAGCTTAAAGCTTTTCCGTTTCACATTGGAAACATTCTTTAAAAAAAATTCAAAAACAAAAAAACATAAAAATATATTGAAAAAAAAAATGTTCCAAAAAACCTATTGCAAGTGAAGAAAAAAATGATGGAAAACGGAAATTCTTAAATAAAAATCATAACATATGCAAACTATTAAAAATTAAAAAAAGTATATTTTACTTAAATAGGTAACATGTGATTTGGGTGAATTTTTAATGCTGATAGATTTTTTGGCATTACAATTATTTTTGGGGGCTATTTTCTTCGAACAAAAGCAATTTAAGAAAACAAAATGCTATTGTGATCGATAATGTGTACGCCACCTTATTTTTCATAAGGTAATTTGACAAATTGCAACACAGAACAAGCCATGGTAGAAAAATATATGTAGACGCATCGACACAGCTGCTGGGACAATGAACTGTCAAACCAATTTTGGAATTAAAAATGTTGAATGCAAAATTATTTAAATTTGTCAAAATTGTTGAAAATGCGAATTATAAAAGCCTCCAAATGACGTAGTATAAGAAAACATATAAAAATCTACTTATATTTGAAAAAACATTTAAATTTTTTTGACATATCAATGCTCCCAAGCGTTGATGCATCTACCTGTCTGCCATGCATAAGGCAATTTCACAAATTGCAACACAATAAAATAAAAGTTACGTAATTTGGGGTGTGTTAAACACAGTCGCTCTGTTCCACAACTCAAATTTTCAAAACTAGTAGATTCTTGCAGGTTTTGGAATAGAATATATGTCTATATTTAGCTGAAAGACAACGAAATGAAAAATAAATTCTATTTAAAAGCGACTGGCTTACATGGATGCTAATGTATACTCTACTATATGAAAGGGGTTCACACTCATAGCTCAGTTATTGATTGTGGCTTATTACCATGTGTTTTAATATAAAATAATGCAAATGGTGCAGTAATCACAAGACACCACGCTATTTATTTCGTAGTAGAGCTTGTAAAGTCTTATTTATACCGAACATGTTTTAATAAAACGTTTTATTTTGATTGTCGATCAATGCGACGTACCCTTTTTGTTAGGTTTCAATTGCTGTTAGTTCCCCCAAAATTTATTCTTTATTCACATTTTTCACAATCCCTAGTAAGATGTTAAATTGAAATTATAATGAAATTGCATTTTCCTTAAAATTTATTTTTATTTACTCCTTAAAATGAACAATTTTTTGTTGTTATAATAACGTCAAGTAAACGTTAGAACAACTACGATACGTAAGGTACTAATCATCAATTCTTAAGCACGGTGTCACCCTGTGTTAACATATGTTTTCATATCGTTTATTACAACGTTGCCTAATACAATGTTCCCATTGGCATTTGAACTAGGGTTTTTTCGCTCAAATATTACTCATGGTAGAAAAATACAGATAGTCGCATCGACACAGCTGCTGGGACAATGAACTGTCAAACCGATTTTGAAATTGATATCGTGAATGAAAAATTATTGAAATTTGTAAAAATTGTTGAAAAATACATATCATTACAACCTCCGATTTGCGTCGTATAAGAAAACATATAAAAACCGACTTATTTTTTACAAAACATTTTAACATTTTTGACATATAAATGTTCCTAAGCGTTGACGCATCTACCTTTATTCTTCTACCTCATGATTTTATACCAGAAATTTTACTAAGCTGTAAATTACCTTATTTTACCATCAGTTTTTGCATATGCGAGCATCGTTCCTAATTGTTGTCAAAATAATTTTGAAAAATATCGAAATATGTTGAAATTAAAAAAATAAATAAATCGGTGGTGTTATATTAATTTTTAGCCGATTTTTTTAAATTAAAATATTTTGGAAAGAGTTTCAACATCAGCAGAAATGGTTCGAATCCATCGAAATTCCAAAAAGTGCAAGAACTTGCACCGCAACAGAAAGAAAATAGACTCAAAAGAGCTAAAGAGTTGTATCGCTTGGCCGAAAGTGGTGAACTGCCGAATTTGGTTTTCTCCGATGGGGAAACTTTCGTTGTCCAGCAGTTTGTAAACAAACAAAATGATCGTGTTTACTTGCCAAAGAGGTCAGCTGAAAATGTGCACCTTCGGTTGGTCAGCAGAACTCAAGCGCCGGACATGGTGCTGGTGTGGGCCGCCACAAAACCCGATGGTCGCTTTCCACTCGTATTAATCGACCGTGGCAGCAGAATAAATGCCGAATATTATCGCGAAAATATTCTGGAGGGTGTATTAAAGCCTTGGGCACGCAAACATTTTGACCGCAGACCTTGGGCATTCCAACAGGACTCAGCACTAAGCACGCGCCATCCAAGAATGGTTACAAATTGAGGTTCCTCGCATCATTTCCAGCGTGTAATGACCTTCAATATCTCCGGATACCAATCCGTTGGAAAGCAAGGTTGCCGCACTAAAAAATAGTAAAGTGTCGATCCCCTCAAGCAAGCGCTTCGCTGGGAATGGGCTAAAATTCCGCAGAGCAACATTCGAGCAGCGTGTGACGGTTTCATATGCCGTTTGAAGGCCATAATTCGTGCCAAAGTTGACCAATTCGAACAAATCTAAACTTATTCCAAAATTTGATGATATTTCCAACATTTTGTGCTTTCATTGAATAAAATTTAAAAAATGTAAAAATTATGGCATTTGACTTTGTTGCAGGTTTTTTTTTGTCTCACCCTGTAGTTGAAAAAAAGTGCATTTTTTAAGTTAATAGTTTTTTTTCCAATTTCATTTCATTTCATTTCATTTCATTTATTTACCTTACAAAGAAATATAAATAAGCCCACAGGGCCCATAACTTATATTATCTATCTACAATACCCTAACATAATACAAATTGAATGATTAATTCAAACTTAACAAATAACATATTAAACCTAATAATTTATCTTAATAATTCACGAGAAGCTCGAACCCTACACCTCGATTCACCATCACCAACTAAACAATAGTCTAGTAGAGCAGTGAAAAAGTGTAGCAGAAACGAGCTAAAAATAAGAGATAACTATTTTATTACTCACAAAACAGAGTATAAATAGTAACTCACATTATACCCTACAAATAAAATTAAGAAGATAATATAGTGGCTCCCCAGCCCAAACAAAAAGAAAAGCAAAAAGAAAGACCCATAATAAACCGACGCAACCACTACAAAAACATAGCCTACATATTTAGGCGAAGGTATTCAATTACTTTAACCCTAAACAGATAATTGGTATGGGCAAAAGTACGTAAGGCCAAAGGAAGCTGATTCCACAATCTCACCGCCCTAACCACAAATGATCTCTCACCAATGGAGGACGAAAACCTTGGAAACCAATTTTGCAAATTTGTGAAAAAAATATAGAATTAATAAAACCATTTATTGCTTTCTTTATTCCTATTTTCTGCAAAATAAAACTATTTGGTCCGTTACAGAAACAAAAAAAAATGATATTGAAAAAAATATGCAAAACTTGTATGTTCTTGCATGTTCTGGAACAGAGCAATAGTCTCGTGTAATTTCACCACAAAATATGGCAATTATGCTAGAAATTTACATATGGCAACATCTATCGAAAGAAGAACGAATAAGCCAAATTCAAACTATAGATCCCTATCAGTTGTGCATTGAATAATTTGCGAATTAAGACGTATTCTGAGAAGTTCATCAATTTCTGAGTTTTTCTTTGAAAATTTCCTGTGCAAAACGTTGAAAAATCAT